AGCCATGACACACTTCCACATACCTGTGTTGTGAAGATCAGACTTTGATTGCGAATACCCAGAATTCTGTTCTTTAAATAAGGCAGGATCTTGCACACTCACAGCTGATTATCATCCCATTGATTAAAATACCTGACTCTGATTTCCCCTTCAAATGAACTGATAATCCTAGAGGTTCACATACTTTTGCCACATACAAATATGTAGCTTTGGATAATTTTCCTCAATGAATAAATGAACAAGTACAATGTTTTTGACTCATTTGTTTAACTGGGTTCTCTTTATTTAGTTTTAGGACTTGTGTGGAGAACAAATCATATTTTAGATCATGTTTATGCAGAAATATTTTAAAAAGGTTCACAAACTTTTAAGCACCACTATACATAGCATGTGCAAGCATACATGGGTCATGACAAGTTGACAATGGTATTAAGCAGAATGCAGCTCTCTGCTAATCATTTATCAAACATAAATACTGAACATTCAAAAAGCAGACATGAGATATGAAGAGTTACACAGAAACACAGTACTGAGCAAACGTACTTATCTACCAGTAAATGGGCTTCATTTCATATTGAGACCAAACCCCAGCACACAATAATCAAAGGACAAATAAGCATCTGGAACCTGCTCTAAGAGAATGTGCAACACTGCACTGAACCAATTAATAATACTGAATTCACAGTTTGTGCATAAGGAATTTTCAGGTGCTTTTATTTTTACTGACAACAATCTGATTTTTTTTCTCCTCATAGTGTAAAAAGTCCAAATATATTAATTCATGCATCTGAATTAGCTGCTTCTGAAGGTACATAGCCTTGTTGCCACAAGTGAAGAAATGAGACAACAAAATTCAAACAGTAGATGAGATGTGCTGCCCCTTCACCAACAGTCCACAAAACAGAATTTCAGCATAAGTGATGGAGGTATGTTAGCATGATAGTCAGCAAGGGAGGCAGAAATATATATACATATGCACATGAAGTACCAAAGAACTACCAGCATGATTAGTTACCATGATATATAGTGGGACTGGAAGAGATGACCCAGCCCTGTTACATTCCCAGTCTTGCATCTATATCAGGATCTCTGTAAGGAAAGGAAGATAAAAGCAGGATCCAATCCCAGCATACCAAAGTAGTAATAGGGGAAAAAAATCAAAGAAAGAATAGAAGTTGTGATACTGCCATGCAAGGGTTCCCACCACCACCCATCTCAATCAGTTGCAGTTCTAGTGTTAGTTTTATTTAGAAATTAGACATGTATCATATACACACACATGTGT